ACCTCACCCTCAAAGACAGACATTACTTGAGAGTTAAAGGTTGGGAAAAATTTTTCAATCAAATGGACCCAAGAAACAAGCAGGGGTAGCAATCCTAATATCTAACAAACTAGACTTTAAAATAAAATCAATCAAAAGAGATGAAGGAGGTCATTACATACTCATCACAGGGGAAACCCACCAAGACGAAGTGTCTATCCTGAACATCTATGCCCCCAATACAAAGGCATCCACATTCGTTAAAGAAACATTATTAGAACTTAAATCTCATCTAAAGCCCCACACAGTTATAGTGGGAGATTTCAACACACCACTCTCACCACTAGACAAGAATACCAGACAGGAACTCAACAAAGAAGCAAAGGGTCTAATAGAAGTAATGACCCAACTGGGATTAACAGATATCTATAGAACATTTCATCCACATAAAAAAGAATATACCTTCTTCTCACCACCACATGGAACCTTCTCAAAAATCGACCACATACTTGGCAACATATCAAACCTCAGCAGCTACAAAAAAATTGGAATAACTCCATGCATCTTATCAGACCACCATGCCTTAAAATTAGAATTCAACAACAACACAAAGTGCAGAAAACCTACAAACTCATGGAAATTGAATAATGCTCAACTGCACCATCCCTGGGTCAAAGAGGAAATAAAAAAAGAAATTAAAGACTTCCTCGAACTCAATGAGAATGAAGACACAACATACCCAAACCTATGGGACACTTTGAAAGCAGTGCTACGGGGAAGTTCATAGCACTAAGTGCTCACATGAAGAAACAGGAAAACAGTTATACCAGAGAATTAACATCACAGCTAAAAGCTCTAGAACACAAAGAAGCAAACTCCCCCAGGAGGAGTAGACGCCAGGAAATAATCAAATTGAGGGCTGAAATCAACAAAGTAGAAACCAGGAAAACAATACAAAGAATCAATGCAACGAAGAGTTGGTTCTTTGAGAAAATCAACAAGATAGACAAACCTTTGTCCAAACTTACCAAACAGCAGAGAGTGAACACGCAAATTAACAAAATCAGAAATGAAAAGGGGGACATAACAACAGACTCTGAGGAAATCCAGAGAATCATTAGGTCATACTTTGAAAACCTGTACTCCACAAAATTCGAAAATTTAAAGGAAATGGATGACTTCCTGGACAGCTATCATTTGCCAAAACTAAATCAAGAACAGATAAGCAATTTAAATAGACCTATAACCCCTATGGAAATAGAAGCTGTCATCAAAAGTCTCCCAACCAAAAAAAGTCCAGGTCCAGATGGCCTCAGTGCAGAATTCTACCACAAATTCAAAGAACAGCTTATACCAATTCTTCTCAAAGTGTTCCACACAATAGAAGCAGAAGGGTCTTTGCCAAACTCTTTCTATGAGGCTTCAATAACCTTGATCCCCAAGCCACACAAAGATACAACCAAGAAAGAGAACTTCAGACCAATATCCCTCATGAACATTGATGCAAAAATACTCAATAAAATACTGGCAAATCGGATCCAAGAACACATCAAAACAATCATTCACCACGATCAAGTAGGTTTCATCCCAGGGATGCAGGGATGGTTCAACATACGAAAATCCATCAACGTAATCCACCATATAAACAAGCTGAAAAACAAAAATCACATGATCATCTCACTAGATGCTGAAAAAGCCTTTGACAAAATCCAACATCCCTTCATGATAAAGGTCTTGGAGAGATCTGGGATAACAGGGACATACTTAAACATAATAAAAGCCATATACAGTAAACCAACAGCCAACATCAAACTAAATGGACAGAAACTCAACGCAATTCCTCTAAAATCAGGAACAAAACAAGGCTGTCCACTCTCTCCATACCTTTTCAACATGGTACTTGAAGTTCTAGCTATAGCCATACGACAACAAAGGGGGATCAAGGGGATACAAATTGGGAAGGAAGAAGTCAAACTTTCACTGTTTGCAGACGATATGATAGTTTATATCAGTGACCCAAAGAACTCTACCAGGGAACTCTTACAGCTGATTAACACCTTCAGCAAAGTGGCAGGTTACAAGATCAACTCAAGAAAGTCAGTAGCCCTACTATATACAGATGATAAAAGGGCTGAAAGAGAAATCAGAGAAACATCACCCTTTACAATTGCCACAAACAACATAAAATACCTTGGGGTAACGCTAACCAAACAAGTGAAAGACCTGTATCGTAAGAACTTTGAATCTTTAAAGAAAGAAATTAAAGAAGCCCTCAGAAAATGGAAAGATCTCCCATGCTCTTGGATAGGTAGGATCAATGTAGTAAAAATGGCAATCCTGCCAAAAGCAATCTACAGATTCAATGCTATCCCCATTAAAATCCCAGCACAATTCTTCACAGACCTTGAAAGAACAATAATCAATTTTGTATGGAAAAACAAAAGACCCAGGATAGCCAAAACAACCCTGTTCAACAAGGCAACGTCCGGAGGCATCACTATCCCTGACCTCAAGCTCTATTATAGAGCTATAGTCCTGAAAACAGCTTGGTATTGGCACAAAAATAGACAGGCAGACCAATGGAATCGAATTGAAAATCCGGGTATTAACCCACACACGTACGAACATCTGATCTTCGACAAAGAAGCTAAAAATATACAATGGAATAAAGAAAGCATCTTCAACAAATGGTGCTGGCATAATTGGAGACTGGCATGTAGAAAAATGCGGATCGATCCATGTTTATCGCCATGCACAAAACTTAAGTCCAAATGGATCAAAGACCTCAACATAAATCCAGCCACACTGAACCTCTTAGAAGAGAAAGTGGGTGGTACCCTTGAAAGAATTGGTACAGGAGACAGCTTCCTGAACATAACACCAGTAGCACAGACAGTGAGATCAACAATTAATAAATGGGACCTACTGAAACTGAGAAGCTTCTGTAAGGCAAAGGACACAGTCAGCAAGACAAAAAGGCAGCCCACAGAATGGGAAAAATATTCACTAATCCCACATCTGACAGAGGGTTGATCTCCAAAATTTACAAAGAACTCAAGAAGCAAGTCTCCAAAACAGCAAAGGACCCAATTAAGAAGTGGGCTGCAGAACTAAATAGAGAGTTTTCAATAGAGGAGTCTAAAATGGCTGAGAGGCACTTGAGAAAGTGCTCAACATCCTTAGCCATCCGGGAAATGCAAATCAAAGCAACTCTGAGATACCATCTCACTCCTGTCAGAATGGCTAAAATCAAAAACACCAATGACAATTTATGCTGGAGAGGATGTGGTGAAAGGGGGACACTCCTCCATTGCTGGTGGGAGTGCCAACTGGTTCAGCCACTTTGGAAAGCAGTATGGAGATTCCTCAGAAAAATGGGAATAAACCTACCACAAGACCCAGCAACTGCACTCTTAGGCATATATCCAAAAGATGCCCATTCATATAACAAAGATGTCTGTTCCACTATGTTCATAGCAGCTTTATTTGTAATAGCCAGAACTTGGAAGCAACCTAGATGTCCCTCACCCGAAGAATGGATAGAGAAAATGTGGTACATCTACACAATGGAGTACTATTCAGCAGAAAAAAATAATGGAATCATGAGATTCGCAGGCAAATGGATGACACTAGAAGAAACCATCCTGAGTGAGGTAACCCAGTCACAAAAAGAGAAACATGGCATGTACTCTCTCATATATGGATTTTAGACATAGATCTGGGGAGTGCCAGCCTACAATCCTATTGCCAGAGAGTCTGGGAAACAGAAACTTCATTTACTGGCTGGTTAAGTACTGAGCTGAACTCAAGAAAGCCAGTATCAGAGAGGGAGGACTGATGATCAAAGGGATTAAGACTGGGCTGGTTGAACCCCCAGAAACAGCTGACCAGACAAAGGTTAACTCTTGAATCCCAGGCATCAGCCTGGGAATCCAGCATGGGACTGATCAAGACCCCCTGAATCTGGGTGTCAGTGAGGAGGCCTAGGTAATCTATTGAGCCTTGGACAGCAGATCAGTACCCATCCCAAGTATACACACGGTCTCTGGACTCCCATAGAACAATGTGAGGTGCACTCTCACCCTGAACTCTTGGGGAAGGGTCTAGGCCCTGCCCTATATGAAATGACAGACTATGGACACCCCCATGGAGGGCCTCACCCTCCCTGGGGGAATGAGGGGATAACGGGGGGGGATGGGGGGAGGGCACAGGAGGAGGGGAGGGAAAGGGAGAGGGACCTCGTACTGACTTGTGAAGCAACCTTGTTTCTTATCTAAATTTAAAATGGAAAATAAAAAAAATATTAATATAATAAAAAAAAATATTCACTCATCCCAAAAAAAAAAAAAAAAAAAAAAAAAAAGTGGTGTACAGAACTAAATAGAGAATTATCAATAGAGGAATCTAAAATGACTGAAAGACACATAAGAACATGCTCAACATCCTTAGTCATTAGGGAAATGCAAATCAAAACAACTCTGTGATACCATCTTAGTCCTGTCAGAATGGCTAAAATAAAAACACCAATGGCAGTTTCTGCTGGAGAGGATGTGGAGAAAGGGGAACACTCCTCCATTGTTGGTGGGAGTGCCAACTTGTACATCTACTTTGAAAATCAGTATGGCGATTCTTCAGGAAAATGGGAATGAGTCTACCACAAGATCCAGCAATCCCACTTTTAGACATAAACCCAAAGGCTGCACATTCACACAACAAGGATGTCTGTTCAATTATGTTAATAGAAGCATTATTTGTAATAGCCAGAACCTGTAAGCAACCTAGATGCCCCTCAACTGAAGAATGAATGGAGAAAATGTGGTACATTTACACAATTGAGTACTACTCACCAGAGAAAACAATAGAATCTTGAAATTCGCAGGCAAATGGATGACACTAGAAGAAACCATCCAGAGTGAGGTAACCCAGTCACAAAAAGACAAAAATGGTATGTACTCACTCATATATGGATATTTGTGTATGTGTGTGTGTGTGTGTGTGTGTGTGTGTGTTTAAATATTTGCCTACAGAATGAAGGTTGGAAGAGATATTAAGGAATGATATTTGAATGTATTGGTGAAAAAGATGATTCAGATGTTCTTATCATGTAAATTTGGGGTGAAATACAGAAGCCGTTTAGCTCATAAATTCACAGTGTTCCTCCCTATGAGAGATCACATGTAGTTGAGTTGGAAGTACATTGGACAAGGAATTGGAAGATGTGTTCTATACCATTCAAAGTTAAAATCCTTCAAGAGATGGCTGATGTGCTCTATAGACTTGGGTTATAGAACAAGTGGATTAATATCAATTCAGGCATCAAGAGTCTATATTTGTCTTTTACCCAACCCTCAAATGAATATTACTTTTAGGAGAAGAAAATCTGATCTTCACTTAACATGGTTTTTGTAAGAACTTAAGGTAACTTTTAAAAATTGTCAGGTCCTTTTTGTATAGCTGTTTCTTCTGAACTCATACCTCCCCTCATGAAGGCAGGAAGGTATTTGAGGAAATAAACACACAGCCTGAAACTCATAAAACTCCTGGAATTTAAAAATTCACAAGGTCCCAAGATAGTATGTAACAGTTGTTGAAGAAAGGAAAACTTGTGAATTGGTGAACTGCCTGCAATTTATGCAGGAAACTTCGTGAACACAGCTTTCATGAGTTCTCACCCATGATGGGATGGGGTTTGCATTGGTGCAGCCCCCTTCAACTGGCCCATGCTCCTGTAAGTGACCCTGTTGAGCTCATTGGTTCATTAACCTAGACTCAGGTATAATATTTCCTTGGTATGCTGATGTTGGAGTATCTATGGTGAATAGTGTGCGCATGTCACTCCAGGAAAAGTCACAGAACAATTATATATCCATTTTAGCAGAAAGCTCCCGTTGGACACAGTGTGTTTCTATGGTCAAACAGTTTCTAATGCCTTAACCTAGAATCCTTGCCTTAGAAACCAAATATATATATGCTTCTAAGAATTAATATGTCAAGGTTTTGTTGGCTCATAGTATGAAAAGGTACATGGATTCTTACCAAGTGTTGACACTCTCACTGATGATTGTATATAGCAGTCCTGAAGAGTAATGAACTAACCAGAAAATTACTTTGATTTCCCCCACCATGTCATGTGTTTTATAATAAAATAAATCATGTTTTTAGTTGCACTTCTTATTTCATTTGTGGAATCTGTTTTGATCTTGTGAGCAAACAAATATTCTCATGTAATTATCTCTAATGGAGGCAATTTCTGTGATCCCAAATCTCATGAGAGTCTCTTGGTCACTACACTCCAGTGACGTCAGTTCACAATTAGTTTCTAAACATTACAATGTCTTTTTATATATCTCTGTGTTGATGACAGTAGCACTCCAAAGTGATAGAGGTGAGGAATGTATTTGTCACCTATATATTGGTTCCTGCAGAATTGTGCTGTGCTTGTTTGGTGTTTACAAAGAAGATCCCTGGTTTCTGGACCTATAGGATGAGATAAGTGAGGATACATGTTCTTAAGAGATGTAAGTAAATGTATGTATGCACTTACTTATGCAATGCAGATCAAGAAATGTCAATCTTGGTGACATGTCATAGTTGATAATTTCTTAATGATTCTGAAAGTTACTCATGGTTATTTAATTTAGTATTGTGAAAAGAGGCAGCAAGTATTTAGAGTTAGGCTAAGTTCTTTGTAAATTCTAAATATAATATTTGTTTTGAAACTTCTTTTAAATTTTTCCCCTATTTCAGATCTTGTCTATCCAAGTGCTCCCCCAGCTCTTTAGAATCACCACATACAGCTAGATCTGATCTACTAGAAAGTAGTCCCTTGTGACTTCAGACACAACCTGTTTCTTCCTCTTTTTATAAAGCTAAACTTTGTTATTTCTATAGTGCTATATAAGAACTAAACCATTCCAATAGTTAATGACTACAGTAGATTATAGGATAACTACACATTTTCCATTTAACATTAGGTGAGCAACATGTTTTTGTTTCTGTATTTATCCAGACAATGCACTAATATATGTACAATAGCCATAATCTTGATATGCCTGATCTGCCTTTAGTTAGAAAGTAAAAGGTCAGAATGGTTTGAAACTTGGTCAACGGGGCACCCAAGAAACAAAAATCTTTGTGACTCATGTAAACTACATATTCTTCCTCACTTCATCTGTGAGTTCTAATGTCTGAGTAGTAAGTATTGTAGAACGATTTATACATTAAAATTTAAAACAACAGGCACATGAAATCATTCTACCTTCCCAAAGTCAGCAGGCATGGATTCATTTTTAAATATTATAAGACAAGAAAATAAGTTTTACATGAACACATCTAATTGGAAACAAATTTTAGTATGAGTTAGGAAAGGCGGTGTAAAATTGTCAAATATTAACTGCAAAAAAATTTACAGTTAAAAGTTTAGGTTGAATTAGAGTAAAAAGATAAATTAGAATCAGTCTAATCTAATAATGTGATAGACTATAATTTAGGTGTAATTTCAAATTCTTAGAAATCATAGAGTCCTCACATAAATAACCAATTGAGAGGCAAGTTTGGAATGTTTTTGGATAATCTCATAACTATTTAATATTCCAGGATAAAAAGCCCAAAATTTAAAAGATACAGTCACGGCCTTGTCGATGCCCAATAAGACATCTATGATTCTGACATGTGAATAGATCAAAGCAAGAACTAACCTCCAATAATTCCTCCGAGTCTCTGGTAAAGTTGATTTCTGCCACTGTTTCTAGATTCTGGGCTCTTAGAAAACTTTGGGAAAACCTAGAACCAAGTTTCTCAGTGTATGAAATAAATGCAGTAGGAATATGAACTCGAGCTGTATTTTATTTCCTATATAAGGCCCTTTCTTATTTCCCAAGTTCATGAGCACAAAAGTGTTGATTCTCACAAGGCCTGGTGCTATGCATTGTTATAGAATACTTAGATTGTTTTTATCTGCTTCCATAAGGATTATAGGCCAGTGTATCGATCTCTTCATCATTAGAGAAATTAGTAAAATCTATTGCCTTCTTTGTCTGGCATACATATTAAATTAAATGTGTTAACAACATGGCTGTAATAAATTAATTCTGTATTGATGAAAACAAACATTTTATGGCATTACTTATGTAAATTTGAATAACTCAAAAAAGCCTCCATGAGTAGAAAACATAAAAAGTATAATCTATGAAACATGAACTGTAATTGAGAAAGCAAGCCAAATTATTTAATTGATTGATTTATATTCTGCTTCTATTCAGACAACTGAAGATCAACTATCCCAAGATCAATGAATGAAACAAATTACTCTCGGGTAACAGAGTTTGTGCTGCTGGGCCTGTCAAGTTCAAAGGAGCTCCAACCTTTCCTATTTGTAATATTTTTACTGCTGTACTTATCAATCCTGCTGGGCAACTTCCTCATCATCCTCACAGTGACTTTAGACTCCAGACTTCATACCCCCATGTACTTTCTGCTTGCTAACTTATCTTTTATAGATATATGTGTGGCCTCTTTTGCCACACCTAAAATGCTTGCTGACTTTCTGGTTGAACAAAAACTATATCCTTTGAAGCCTGCTTGGCTCAGATTTTCTGTGTTCATCTCTTTGCTGGTGGTGAGATGGTACTTCTTGTATCCATGGCTTATGATCGCTATGTTGCAATATGCAAGCCCCTCCACTACATGACAATCATGAGTCGCCGTGTGTGTATTATTCTAGTCATCATTCCTTGGTGTGTGGGTTTCATCCATACAACTAGCCAGCTGGCATTCACTGTTAACTTGCCATTTTGTGGTCCTAACCACGTGGACAGTTTTTTCTGTGATCTCCCACTAGTGACAAAGCTAGCTTGCATAGACACTTATGTTGTCAGCTTACTAATAGTTGCTTACAGTGGCTTTCTCTCCATGAGTTCATTTCTCCTCTTGGTTGTCTCCTACACTGTGATTCTCGTTACAGTTAGGAATCGCTCCTCTGCTAGCATGGCCAAGGCCCGCTCTACCCTCACTGCTCACATCACTGTAGTCACACTCTTCTTTGGACCATGCATCTTCATCTACGTGTGGCCCTTTAGTGGCTATTCTGTTGACAAAGTCCTTGCTGTGTTCTATACAATCTTTACACCCATATTAAACCCTGTTATCTACACCTTGAGAAACAAAGAAGTAAAAGGAGCTATGTCGAAGCTGAAGAGTCGCTATCTGAAATGTGGACGGGTTTCTGCACAGATTAGAAATGTTCTTATTCTGGAAGCAAAGTAGGATTACAGGACTGGCAGCGTTTTTTTTAAAGAAACAATTTCCCTAGACAGTTCCATAATTGAATTGCTGCTGTTTCTAAGGGTAGTCATTTAACATGTGGAGATATTTAAAATTATAGGCTCACTACAATTGTAATAAGCAGAACACATTTTGTGAGAAATTTTTCTTTCAATTATGTTGTTCTTTGCTGTTGTTTTTTCCTGTTTTCAAATTCATATAGTTTTAAAAGAAAATGTTAGATCTTTTGTGAAGGAAATTATATAATTTATTGAATTATAATTACATTTTGTCTTGTACTGTTTGAAAATATAGTTTATATTCAATCTCTCAAGTAAATTCACTGTTTATAAAGAAAGGAATGATTTTATAAATCCAGCTTTTCAAACAACAAACAAGAGTGATGAGTACTTGTTGCTTTTTCTAGTTCTATGTCCATTTAGCTCCTGCCACAGTGCAGCTTCATTGTGAACACCATGTGCTGACTGGCAGTAAATACCTGTGATACTTTGCATGCAATGCGTCCTGGCACAGAGTTTACTTGTCTGTACCAGGTCACACAACACTTGGGTTTTATGTACAAAGGAATATAATTAAATGGAACTTAGTTGCAATAGGTAAGGACAAGAACATATTCCTTGGAAAAGCCAAAGAGTTTATGAAGATCATCAACTCCTAGACCAGAATCTTGCATGTTGTAAGCAAAGCCCTAATGCTGCTTGAAAAAGACATCCTTAGATGTTACTGACACTTTATAAGAACCAGTAGCCATTACCATTTTCTAATTGCCATGTTACTGGAATTCTCCATTATTTAGAATTCACTGTTTTCCGAGGGGGAACGAATGGACCCCAGACTGATGACTGAGAGAACAGCATGGGACTGATATAGGCACCCCCACACACACACACAACCTGGGTGTCAGAGAAGAGGCCTTGGCAATTGATGGGACTTTGGAGAGTAGATCATTATTTATTCCTGGTATACAAATGGACTCTGGGAGCTCATTCCACATGGAAGGATGCTCTGTCAGCCTGGACATATGGGGGAGGACCCAGGCCCTGCCTGGGATTATATGACTAACTCTGAAAATCCCTTTTGGATGGCCTTACCCTCCCTGGGGAGCAAATGGGAGATGGAGTGGGATAGGGGGTTAGGAGGAATAGGGGACCGGGGGAGGGGAGGTAAAGGGAGCTGAGAGTAATATGTGTAAAAAGTTAAATAAAATATAAATAAAGAATTCACTGTTTCCATCAATTACCTATGTTGCAGCATAATGGTTTCATTCTGGAATGTTAAACTGCAGTGCCTGTAGTTAAATTAAGTGCCTACATTGTCACTTTAAAAATGCTAAGAGACTGCATCTTCAGCATTCTTATTATATTCTATAAAGAACTTGCCAATTATCATGATGATGGTTATCATTTTAAGATAGACTTTAATATAAAACACCACACTATAAAATGTAAATCTACCCATTTGTGTTTGCTAATGAAGATAAAAATAATTATGTTGCTTTTCCACTGAAAATTATGAAGGGCTGGCAAAGGAAGCATTTTATTGAATTGGCGATCTATCGTTGGAGCTGAAAAGCTAAAGCTTGAAGTCACAGAAACCGTGTATTATCATTTTTGAGTTGTTTGGTAAACTTTTTCTTGTGAAACAGTCACCATTTTACTCATGGCTACCAACATCCTGCACTCTCCTCAAGTGGAATTAATTTTTAAAGACCACATACAGTGAATTCACAGAGTCTGTCTTTCTGAATCAGGTTTATTTTAGTCAAATAATGTTCTGAAGTTTTTAATCATACTGTCAAAAATGGCAATAATTTCTTGTTTATAAAGACAGACTGAGCTGGGAATTGTACTCATCTTTTCGGGCTTGGTAGGTAGTATGAGTCCTTGGGTACTGAGTCATTTGGCCATGCCATTTTCATTTTTTCGGTGTTCTTTAAAAATTGTATTATAATTGTTAGTTCACGATTGTGTGTGTGTGTGTGTGTTTGTGTTTGTGTGTGTATGTTTGAATCCACGTGTTACATTCTGTTTACTCCCTCCCTCCACACTCTCATATTTCTCCCTCACAGACCTGACACTTCATCCCTCTGTACAGGTACCTTCCTATATTCATATGTTGTTGTTGTTGTGTTGAGACAGGGTTTCTCTGTGTAGCTTTGGAGTCTGTCCTGGTACTCAGTCTGTAGACCAGGTTGGCCTCAAACTCAGAGATCTGCCTGTCCCTGCCTCCTGAGTGGGATTAAAGGTTTGAACCACTACTGCCTGGCTCTTGTCCTGTTTTGTGACTCACTGAGTTTAACCAGAGTTGTAAGTGTGACTGTGGATTTGAACCTGTCCATGGGCACCTGGGGGCTTACCACTGGGAACACAAGTGAGGACAATGACTGTTCTTCTGCCCGGTCCATCAGTAGCAAAATTTCAGTAGGGAGTTCTTAAGTTCAACTGGAGACTTGTTGGGTACCACTAAAGTATGTATGTTACTACTCCACCCTTAGGGTAGCAAACTCACGCTGGTACTTGTGGATCATTGGTCTCAAAACTGGGTTTGGATTGTTGTCAGATATTTCCATGCTGTATTATCTTGTATGCCATCTTCTGGTACCATGAAAACTGGTTATCAGTGTGTAGGCTTTCAGACCAGTACCAGCTCAAAGGTCTCTGGGCCTTGCATCTGAAATGCATGGTGACTTCGCAATACAGACCTACATTTCCAGCTCTGTGGGGTGGGGGCAGAAAAAGGCAATAGTAGCAATCTGTGATGTTTGGAAGATCACATGAACAACCCAGACCAACAAATCAAAATAGGGTTTCTTGTGCCTGATCTTAGAGTTTTTGTTAAATCCTCTGTGGATCTTAGGGGGAACATTGTTGGCCCTGATTATTGTTTATATATATATATATATATATATATACATATATATATATGTATGTATGTATGTATGTATGTGTGTGTGTGTGTATGTGTGTGTGTGTGTAATTTTAGGTAGATAATAATAATATGATCGCAATGCATACTCAGACATCCTTACTATCATTTTATTTTCATCCTTTCTAACAGGCTACTAATTTAAATACATATGTACATTTATATGTATTTATACACAAATATATATATATATATAGTATCTTGACTTCAAAATTTGGATCTGAGGACATGTTGTTTTGGAAAAGGGGCTCTTCTTTTGTCTCCACAAAAGAAGAGAAGATGTGGTTTCCTTCCAGATTAATATGGTTTGATCAGGTAAGACCCCTCCAAGAGGTCTCTGATGGTGGGAGAGATTGCCAAAGTGATCCAAAATCCAAAACAACTTCCAGACAACTGGCTGAGACGATGCCTCCTCACAGATTACTACAGCCAAGATTTGACTATAATTCTAAATTTTCTCAGGATCCCCATAAGATTACCAGAACCCCCAGTCAGTGGGAAGTAGCATAGAAAATATGTTTGTTTTCATTTAAAGGGGGTTGGTTTTAAATGGTTAATGGTCACAGTCGATTTCTTTCTAAAGAAAAAAGGGGAATATATAGAAATGAATAATCTACATTGGTCTGGATTTTGTTTTTTTGAAAAAAAATTAAGGTCAATTTTGTTACACTTTATGTATATTTCTACTCTTGTTTAAGGTATTTTTATGTACTGTCTTTAAAAATGTAATGTATAGTTAAGAAATGCAAATTAATTGTCATCTATAATCGTCAAACTTATAGACATGTTAGTTAGGTTTTCTTGATACACAAAGATATATTTCAAGTAGATAGGTAATCTTCAAACACTTCAAAGACCTACATAATATGGCATTTAAAATGTTTTAAGAACTTAGACTTTTCTCAGCAGTGAGACACATCTGCTCCTGACAGCACCAATTATTTCAAGAGGATGATGGGCACAGAAGAAGTTCCTTACGGATTTTCTTTCAGTGTGGTGAGACTAGACACTTGGACAAGAAACTGCTCTTGCCTGAAGTACTTGACAGTTTGCTCTATGAACAGGACATGCGGGAGCCACAGAAAAATGACTGCCAAACTTGCAAAAAGAAGGTGGCACAGAAGGAAGCAACTGATGGAGTTCACCTTCCTTCTCTCTTAAGAGTTGGTGTGGGTCAGAATAAACATTTAACAAGTTCTTCCAGACCCTGACCAAGGACCAAGTCCCTACTCTGCAAGTGGCTTTTCTCCCCTCACCGCCTCTGCACGTGTCTGTCACCCACTGTGACCCGCGTCCTGAGAGTGAGGGTAAGGCGGTTTGTAAAGATAAAATGGCCTTGTCTGAACAAACGATTCTAGAAAGAAGACACTGCAGACATTGCATAGAAGCTTCCATTCCCAAACCTCCTATGTAAACCATAATTATTCCCTTCCCCACCCCTTTCCTTCCATGTGTGCACCTCACAGTTTGAAATAAACAGTTTTGTCTGCTGGTTCCTTTCTGCCTCCTGTCTCTGTAAGCTGCCTCAGAAATCCAATAGACCCCATGCTCAGGCGTAGTTGGCCAATACAGATCAGACTCCATGATGTTCTCTCTCTCTCTCTTCATTTGTCTGTTTTCAAAAGGGAGGAGGAACATAAATATGGGTGGCTAGATATGGGAAGACAGAGATTCTAGAAGGAGTTGTTGGAAGGGAAAGTTATCAAATTATGATGTTGTAAGACAAAATAAAAACATAAACATACTCAAATCAAACAAAAACCAAAACCCAACAATGTAGATGTTTCTGGGGAATAATGCCTGAGGTTCATCTTTGGTATTTTTACACACACACACACACACACACACACACACACACACACACACACACGTCTACCTAAAAATAATCCTACCTTCAAAAATATGACTTATTTAATAATAATCAAAATACTAAACATACAGAGTAAAGAAAGAATATTAGGAGCTGCAAATGAGAAAGGACAAGTAATGTGTAAAGACAGACCTATTAGAATTAGACCAAAATTCTTAATGGAGACTCTAAAAGTCAGAAGAACCTGAACAGACATGCTTTAGACACTAAGAGACCACAGCCATCCCAGACTACTATATCCAACAAAACTTTCAATCACTATATATGGAGATGGAGATATTTCATGACAAAACCAGATTTAAAAAATACTTATCCACACAGGTTAACATAATATATACAAAAAGAAGAGCCATTCTTCTGCTACATAC